ACACACACACACACACCTGTTTTTCCTCTTTCTTAATGCATACCTTTGTAATTACATAATGGCCACATCTGCTTTGATTTAAGATTCATTCTACATGGTATAGACACGATGATTCTACTTTCAGATTTCAAATGTACAGAATATCTAACTCAATCCCTTCACTTTCAAGCATATTTATGTTTGTAGAGATGAAGTATCTTATAATCAATATAAAGTTAGCTTTTATCTTTTAATCCATTTGGATACTGTCTTTCAAAGGAAATTAATTCCATTTACATTGATGGAAATTGATAATGTCCTGCTAGAACCATTATGTAACATCTTCTAATTTTGTTTTTCTGAGGTTCAGTGAATTTATCTAGAAGTATGTTTAAATTCCCTGCTTATTAGTTAGGGTTTGTACATTATAGATTTTTGTTTTATGGCTATTATGAGGTTTGCAAAGTGATGACAGGGAGGAGAAAAAACTGGATGGGAAGGGATGGGATGGATTTGATGCGAACAGTGTATGCATGCATAAGTATTGAATATTTTAAACCATCTTTTACTTATAACAAACCATTTGAAATATAATAACATAATTTAAAAGACAAGAACAGGAAAAATGACAAGATAAAACACAAGAAAACCCTACACTTTACCTCATTGCTCCCACATTCTAAATTTTACATATTTCTATGTTGGACATCTCTCAAGATATTAGTGTAGTTTTATTTTGTTTTTAGATTTCATATTCCAACAACTTAAATATCTGTTCTTTTAATACTATCCCAGAGTTCTTGTCAATTCTATCTTTCTGTATAGTCTATATATTTTTTAAAATTCCCCTCAACACCTTTGGCAGAAGGTCCATGCTCCATCAAAGATAATGCCAGCATCCAGATACCCAGGTAAGCACTGCAGACCACTGAAACTCCTCCAGAACCCACAACCTAACCCCAACAATCCCTCCCCTCCTTGTCATCCTATCCTGCCCACACCTCCTGGGGAGGAATCTCGCTCCATCAGAGACAACACCAGCATCTAGATCCCCAGAGGCCACACAAAAACAAACTTCACATAGTTAAAGTAATATTCCACAATATTGGGGACTGGACTTCTGATGAGCAGCTGGCATCTGGTTGAGCAGGAGTCTCCACCTGAGTTGTGGTCTGGGGTTATGGTAACTGGAGTGACATCTTGTGAAGTTGTATTACATTTTAATGCTGTAAAGATGTGTTGATGTTTCACCTTGCCTGCCTAAGGCACCTGATTGTTCTAATGAAAAGTTGAATGGCTGATATCTAGATAGCACAGGGATAGGCATGGCTGCTAGGCAAAGAGAATAGGTGGGAGGAGAAATCTAGGCTTAGGGAATGAGAAAGAAGAGAGAATGAGGGAGAAAGAGAAGGATGCGCCAGGGGTTAGAAGCCGGGCAGCTGCCAGCCAAATAGGCAAAGAGCAAACAGGAAAGTAAGATGCACAGAATGAAAGAAAGGTTAAAAGTACCAAAGCAAAATGCTGCTGAAGAGAAATGGATTAAGACAAGAGTTAAGGTAAGGCCAAGCACTCATAGCTAATAATACGTCTCCGTGTCATGATTTGGGAGCTGGTTGGTGACCCCAAAGAATACCTGTTATATTTGGCACCAAACATGGGGCCCTATTTCCACAAAGGGTTTGAAAAAGCTGAAAAAAAGAGAAAGAAAAAATGGATAAGGTTCCATTAAGAGGTTTTGCTGTACCAGGATGCTAAGTAGAAACAGCAAACTTAGTAGAAACTCCTGCCACAGTACAGGCACCAACTTCCTAGAGCTGGGATGGTTAAACGCAGCTTCCAGTAGTTGAACACAGCTCTCAACTAGGCTCTGGATCATAAAGTGAAGCTTTTAAAGGCCCATGCTCAGCAGAGGCAGCCAAGAGCACAAAGCTACTTAGCAGTTTAAAGTTTGGCTCATGGGGTCAGAAAAAGCTAGAGACACATGGCAAAAAGACAGGTCTAGAAGGAAAAATAAACAAACCTCTAAACATGTTACAGTGTGTTTTAAAATGTGCATAGGATGAAGAAAGAAAATGGGTATAGACAGTCATAGAAACAATAGTTTTAAAATAACAAAGTAAAGGCTTTAAAGAGAGACTAATAAGCCAAGTAAATATGGGAAATGCACAGGGAGTCTGGATCCCACATGGTGTTGTGTTGACTTGGAATTTTTTGAATGCCCATGAGTGAATGACAGCTGTTGAGAGACGTGGGGTTGTAAAGGGAACTGAATTAAATCAGCCTAGATACTTTAGGGATGCCTTAACCTTAAAATAGAAGTCAGAAAATGTATTGCATTGGGGAAGACATTATGCTTTTGTTCTCACAGTAAATGAAAGGCTGTGGATTCCTTCAAGGTTAACAGAGATCAGGTTAGATATGGGGACACCTATGAAAATCTTGGCTACAAGCATAAAGAAATAAATCTAGAAAAACTATAAGATACATGATGTATATACTGATCCTTCTGCATGGGAACATTTCTGAGATGGACAACAGATGTTACAAATAGTTTCCTAGGACTTGACCATTATCTCAATTTTGTTAGGTTCCCTAAAGATGCTGCCACCCTCAGACAACAGGAAGCAGTCTAGAAAACACAACGTCCACATTCCCATGAGGTGGGGTAGGAAAATTTTGCTCATTCAGTGGGTTCCAGATGTTTGTCATTATTTAGTTGGGATATAGAAATATAGGATAAAAAGTCAATTATTAATCTCAAATATTTTACATTGGCATGGATTGTGTCATATTGATACAAATTAAAATTATTTTTGTTAAACCATGTAGATGTTTCAACTATTGTTTGGGATATTGTGCTTATACAGGTAATTTTTAATGTAATATATAATTTAAAATGCAGGTTAGCACTTAGCCATCTATAATAATCAAACTTGCAGTCAGGTTATGTTTGTCTTCAAGGCTAAACGGAGATATTTTAGATAGATGATGATCTTCAAACACTTCAGAGACCTACAGAACATGGCATAGAAGATGTTTAATAACCTACGGCTTTTTATGACAGTGAGATGAGTCTGTTCCTGACAGCAGCAATCTACTTCATAAAAGGATGATGGGCATAGAAGAACCTCCACATGGAGTTTGTTTTCAATGTGGACAAGCTAGCAATTTGGGCAAGAAACTGTCCTTGCCTCGACTGCTGAAGTATACCATCCATCTGGACATGCAAGACACAAAATTTGCTAAGACAAGGTGGGAGAGTACTTCAAAATTCCTCCTTCATAGAAAAGTCTGCCAGATGTTCTAGGCCTGTAGGCTGAAGATGGTTGCCCCACCATTGTAGAGGAACCATAAGTGACTGTCCAGGAAGACAGATGTTTCTGTCATTTCCATAGTTTTGGAAGTGTTTTGTACTATACTTCATGTTTATTCAGTTAATATATCCTTCTGGGGTCTTTAATGGAGTTGAAGACTAAATACAGCTACAATTTTCCTTAGTCATGACAGAAGGTAAGTTACTAATCTTTGGACTCTCCAAGACAGAATAAATAATGGGAGTATTTTCACTGAATCTGACAAATACAAATGAACTGGATATTGTAAATGTAATTCTTACCTGATACATATAACTTTACTTTAGAATGAAACCTTTCCTTTTTATTTAGACAAAAGGGGGAAATGTTGTGTAATAATAATTTAACCACGTAAAGGTATGTCACTTGTGTTTATGCTGCATCTGTTTAACAATGTAGAGATGTGTTGCATTTGTTTAATCATGTAAAGATATGTTACTATTCTACCTTGTCTGCCTAAGGTACCTGATGGGTCTAATAAAAAGATGACTGGCTAATAGGTAGGCAGCAGAAGGACAGGCAGGGTTAGCAGGCAGAGAGAATAAGTAGGAGTAGAAATCTAGGCTCGGGGAATGAGAAAGAAAAGAGAATGAGAGAGAGAGAGGGACACACACAGGACCAGAAGCCAGGCAGCTACCAGCTAAATAGACACAGAAGAAACAGGAGAGGAAGATATACATAATGAAAAAAAGGTATAAAAAAACCCAGAGGCAAAATTTAGATAAAGAGAACCAGATTAAGACAAGAGTTAAGATAAGGCCAAGTATTCATAACTAATACTAAGTTACCATGTCATGATTTGGGAGCTGGTTTGTGGCCCAAAAGAAATCCTGCTATACCCCAACTTGGGAAGATACCATCTACTCAACCACAGGCCATTCTGGAAAGAAGACCAGAGGAAAAAAAAACAGAAACCAAGGAACAAAACACCCATGCCACAAAATCAAACCCGGAAATCAGCACCTTAACTATGATCACCCCAAACCCAGATGCTTAAATGCCAGTGCCAGTGCAAGAACACAATCAACAACAGCCAGGGCAATATGTCACTACCAGATTTCAGCTACCCTATCACAGCAAGATATTCCAACACAGCTAAAACACAAGAAAATGACCCTAAAACCAAATTTATAAAGATGATAGAAGTCCTTAAAGAGGAAATGAACAAATCCCTTAAAGAAAGCCAAGAAAAAACCAACGATTGAAGGAAGTGAGTAAAATTGATCAAGATCTGAAAATGGAAACAGAATCAATAAAGAAAACCAAAACTGAGGGAATTCTGGAAATGGAAAATCTAGGTAAGTGAACAGAAACTACAGAGGCAAATATCACCAACAGAATATGTAGGAGGAAAACAATGCCACCATTAACCATGTGACTTACTAGAGGCGCACACAGATGAGGTAATAAAAGAGCAGTTTACCACACCGCTAACCACACCCACTTTAGGTATGACTAAAGACATATACGGACAGACATAAAGACGTATACAGATGTAGGCGGTAAACTACATCACTAGCCAGGCCCACTTTTGGGCATGGCTAGGGGCATTACGGAGGAAGGTATAAAAGACTGAACAACGGAAGTCTTGGTCTCTTTTTCTGGCTTTCCGCTTCCAGTTCGGTGGCAAAAAACTACTCGGCTCATCTGGGTTACTTGTTTGGTATCTTGTGAGTAAATTCTACAATAAATACTTAGTTTTACTTTCAGTAAGTGTGTCGTTTATAGTTACAGCATTATTTTGGTGTCAGGAGTTTCAGGATCCAGATCCAGGCACCCAGAAAAGCGGCTGCTCCTCGGCCTGACCAGGCACACGTGGACTCTCCTTTCGCTAAGTTCCCCACCACTTTGCTCGGCAAGGCATGATTCCTGCCCCTGGGAACCAGCACCTTTTACCTGCCGGTAAGGTTAGGTGGTATTCTGAGATTTCTCTCGCGGTCACGTGCTCTTTTACTGGCGGCCTGCTTACTTCGGCCTGAATAAAACTCCACTGGTAACAAACTTAACTGTTTTATACAATGTCAGCTAACATTACGATGCAGAATGTTAAGAATTTTCTTGTTTTTTGTATGAATGGGATTTTAGAAAGGGTTGAGGACCTACCTGAAAGGTACTTCCTACCCACGATGGTGATTATTAGTTTCATAATCAATATAATTTTGCTAAAGAAATGGTTCAAAAATAGGGCAAAACTTATACAGGTCATATGGTCATCACAGGATAGTTATGAAATCCTAATACAAAGAATTCAGGAAATGCAAAATTCCTTGCAGGATAGTAAGGAAGGTTTGGTAGAAAATATTCAGGATATTAAAAATGATAATGTAGGTCTGACAAACAGGTTTAAAGAGACAGAACACAAAATTGAATTACTTTCAGGAAAAATGTGTTCAACAGATAGAATAGAAAAAGTGGAACATAATATTGAAACATTTAACCAATAAAACTGTTCCATGTTCGATGATTTCACTAGCAAACTACAAAGACTGGAACATAAGATTGAAATGCTAACAGAAAAGAATTGTTCCATGTCTGAGAGCAATGACAAACTAGCTGATAGAACGTCATTTCTGGAAGGCAGTTTACATGCCATTGAGATACTTTCTAAGGATGAGAATATTAAATATTTGGAATCATGTGTAAATGATGAATGCAAAAAAAAAAGAAAGATTCCATGACATCCTTAGAAAATTATTTGTCCCAAGAACTTCAAGAGTTCAGAGAAACAATGATGAATCGACTGCAGGTTTTAGAAGACGTCCAATGGTCTTCATTCTCCCTATGTCACAGAGCTCCTAACCTCATGGGCTACTGTAAATAAAGTAACCCCAAAAGACTGGGCCCAATTAGCCTCAGCAGTGCTCAAAAATTCTTGTCAAATTCAATGGAGAGCTTTATGGAAGCAAGAGGTGAAAGCTTTAGAGATTCAGGAATTACAGAACGGTCATGAAGTACCCCAAGACAAGATTCTTGGGGAGGGTCCTTACACTGACACGCAAGTTCAGTCTGCATATGATGAGTACATGTTGTCGTCATGCCGTACAGCTGCTTTAAATGCCTTGGATAAGGTTTGTGAAACAGAGATAATGCAACCCTATACCAAGGTATTACAGGGCCCAAGGGAAAGATTCACTGAATTTTTAGAGAGATTATCCAGAGCAATAGAAGTACAAGTAGCAAATCCAGAATCTAGGCGACTCCTTATAGAATTTTTAGCATATGAGAACGCAAATCCACAATGCAGGCAGGTAATTTGGCCATTAAAAATAAGATCAGCGCCATTGGAGGAATGGGTCCTATACACAACGAACCTGGAATGTAAAAGGCAGGATACGGGTGCTTGGGTAGGCTAAGCTATTTCTACAGGCTTGAGGAGGCACCAGGATGCCAAATACCCTACCTGTGATGATATAGAGGCCTGGGTAGGGAAGGCAATCTCCAAGAATTTTAACAGACATAAAGATGCCACGTGCTTTAACTGTCGTAAAATAGGACATCTGAGTAGGAACTGTAGACAACGCATTCCTAGAAATAATGCTTTTACCAGGAATGCATCAAACAGAAGGCCTCAGCCTCCTGGTATCTGCAGGAGGTGTGGAAAGGGAAAATATTGGACCAACAAATGCTGGTCAACTACAGATAGACAAGGTAGATCTTTACAGCCGGGAAACGGGAATCAAGGCCTCAAGCAGGCCTCAGAAAGAAAGATTATTCGGTCATTCCCAGTGCTGCAGTGGAGGACAGCCTCTCCCAGGACAATTAGAAGATCCACTGCTCATTGTAAATAATACAGCACTGGATAATACATTAGCTCCAGAGGATGAATCAATTATATCAGGAGGAAATACAAAACATATGTTTTGGCAAACTTCTATACAATATCATAGACCCAAGTTACCAGTTAAAGTAAATAATACGGTGATTAATGGCATTTTAGACACTGGACTACAGAGAAGAATTCTGAAGTGAACCAACCACTGTATTTTAAGGATGTTATGACCTCAGTCTGGAAACCAGGATATGTGTTACGTTGGGGAAGGGGTTATGCTTTTGTTTCCACAGGAGAAGAAAAACTTTGGGTTCCATTAAAATTAATTAAGATTCGATCAGAACAGAAGACATCTCAGGAGGAGGAAGATAACAGCTCATCTACAAATTCATATTATACCATGGGTAAAGTGACCTCCTAAAAGGAAAGAGAAGTGTTTTGTTTTTTGTCTTCACAGGTAAACTCAGCAAAGAATACTGGACATATGGATTCCTGTAGAAGAATGAATAGCTACCCTGAGGACCATCAAACAAACAGTAACTCACTGTGTGGTATCAAAGTCTAAATCTCTCTATGTTGTTTTTCATAGTACCCTTTTATCTTTGTTTCTTCTAGAAAGAACAGCACTCAACTTCATTTAAAAAATCCCAGGGTATCTAAAAGAATACTGTACAAACAAACACAACAACAACAAAAACAAAAAATGGACAAAGAACCCCCAGAAGGTATCAACCATCCCTGATTTCAAGTTATACTAAAGAGCTGCGGTAATAAAAACTATATAGAACTGGCATAAAAAGACACCGGTTGATCAATGGCATCAAATTAAAGACCCATACATAAATCCACGTACCTACTGACACCTGATTTTTGACAAATGAGTCAGAAATACAAAATGGAAAAAACAAGGCATCTTCAACAAATGGTGTTGGTCTAATTGGATGTATGTATGCAGAAGAATGCAAATTGATCAATATCTGTAACGAGCATTCTTCCCAACAGCCTAGTCCCATCAACCCCAAATAACACACAGAGACTATTAGTTACAATGCTGCTGGACAATGTCTGAGAATTCTCATTGGCTAGTTCTGTCTTAAGTATTAACCCATAACTACATATATATCTTAACGAGGATGCCAGCCTCATGTGTCCTCTCTTCCCAGAATCACATGGTTACTCTCCACTCTTGAATACATTTCCCAGACTCTTCCTCGACTCCTAGTCCCACCTATCTTGCTTCCCTATTGGCCAACAGTGCTTTATTCATTAACCAATAAGACAACATATACACAGAAGGACTTACCCCATCACATATCTGTCATTCTGCACAAAACTCAGTTCCAAGTGTACAGATATACCACACAACCCTACAGGGCAGGTGGTTAAAGAAAGATCAAATTGAACTCTAAAGGATATGCTAAATAAACAGAAAGGGGTAATAAAGACCCCCCCAGAAATCAATTGCATAATGCTTTATTAAATTTGAATTTTCTAATGAGAAAGGAACAACAGCTATGCAGAGATGTTGGATAAGAAAAAAAAAATACTGAATTAAACCAGTCTGTATACTTTAAAGATATATACTTTAAAGATGTGTTGACCTCAGGATAGAAACCAGAACATGTATTATGATGGGGGATGTCCTCCTGTATGCTATGATTATAAGTTTCTCTTTTGGTTGATGAATAAAACACTGATTTTCTAGTAGCCAGACAGGCAGTATAGTCAGGGCTACCAGACTAGGAGAATTCTGGGAAGAGGAAGGCAGGGAGGAGCCATCAGGGAAATACCATGTAGCTGCAGGAGTCACATATATTACAGGTTAGCCCCAGCCTCGTGGCAATAGATAGTTTAATAGAAACAGGTTAAATAAAAATGGGTTAATAATTAAAAGAGAGTTAGCCAGTAATAAGCCTGAGCCATTGGACAGACAGTTTATAATTATTATAAGCCTCAGTGTGTTTATTTGGGATAAGGAAGGACAGAAACTCTGTTATCAGTGTTACACTGGGGAAGAAGTTTTGCTTTGTTTCCACAGGAGAAGAAAAGCTATGGATACCATCAAAATTGATAAAAATTAGATTTAAACAAGAGACATACCTTAATTAGAAGAACTGATAGTTAATCGAGCAGCATGGCTATTCAATCTAAACTAACTTTAAAACTAACAAATGCTTTTCATTTGATCAGATGTAACTTTCCATAAAGGAACCGCCCCAAAATTAGGGTTGTGGAAGGGTTTTGCTTTTGCTTTTCAGGAGAATAAAGGCATGCATCTAAGGACTCTGAAGACCACCAGACAAATAAGATATGTGAAGAAAAAGGTCAAATCATACAGAAAAACTATACCAAGAACAAGAGTTATTTGGCCTATTAGTATATCCCATCTCCAACAGGATACAATTTCATAAATCCTCCCAACAGTTTGTTTCTGCTTCAGACATATAATGCAAATGGTTTTTTGTAGCCCCAATCTAATTAAAAATTAAAACTGGCTTTTGAGTTGGAGTGTGACTCTCTTTTTCTCTAAACCCAAGAATGCTAGTTAAAGTAAAATGCAAAATCTCTGACTCATGTCAGAAAAGTCACCTTATATGGGACAGAAGAAAAACAAATAGTAAAGGACTGTTTAATTGCCACTAATCTCATAATCTTTTGGTCATATTTTGAGTCTTTGGAGCTTTTCTTGAGGTATAGATAAGATTAACATATATATATATATTTTTTTAAAGTTTTGTCACGATATTAATGGTCATATAGTGTACTAACTAATTCTAGAAAAAGGTTTCATCTAGCTTCCTGTACATGATTTTGTATTTGAATCTCTATCAGATAACTATGAATTAAGCTTTCATACTCTGAATGTACATAATAAATATTGATCCTTTAACCTCTTTGAAATCTGCTGCATGTAACACTTAAAATGTTTAAGTTTTCTGCAGTGAACCATGACCACCCCTAACAGTGACCTTTGAAGTCTCCAAAAGGATGATGGGGCCCCACAATTAAGATTCCACCAGGACTATGATTACACCACTAAGCTGAGAAACACCACCTAAAGATCAACTTTGGACTACAAACTGCTCAGAACAGTTTTGAAGTAGCTAACTGGGATGGCCCAGGACTTGATATTAGCCCTGCACCTTCCAATTGAACAGACACTGAACAGCAAATGATACAGCTACCTCTCCCATGACTTGACAACTAACCCAAAAATTTCTTTTCAGGACCTCCTTGATGGCGGATGTCCTTCTGTATATGTTTCTCTTATTGGTTGACGAATAAAACACTGTTGGGCCAATGACCAATGAGGCAGGAAGATAGGTGGGACTAGGAGAAGAGGAGAAGAAGTCTGGGAAAGGTAGACAGGAGAGCTGGCCAGAACAGGTGCGATGAAGCAGGCAAAGGAGTTGCAGGTCTGGCATTCTCCAGTAAGCCAAGACCATATGGAAATACTTAGATTAGTAGCTATGGGTTAATAATTAAGACAGAACTAGTCAATAAGATGCCCAAGCCATCAGTCAACAGTTTTATAATTAATATAGTGTCTGTGTGTTTATTTGGGGCTCAAGGGCTCCAGGACCAGACAGGCTAGAAAACTTATGCGTACACTCCCTAAAGATGCTGTTGGCCCAAGACAGCAGGAAGTAAATTTAAGAATACAACATCCACATTCCTAAGAGGTAGGGTGGGTGGTTTTTGGTCATTCAATGGTTATGGTTGGTTACAATTTGTTATCGTAATGGTCAGGAAAAAAGTTGAACAAAGGAGACTAGTTTTAGAGTTCTTGTTTTGAAAAGAAAAAAAGGGGGATATAGAAATAGGATAGAAGGGTAGATTATTGAATCTACTTTTAAACCAGAAAAACAACTACTAGTTTTAAATATTTTACATTGGCTTGAAATTTTTGTATATTGATACAAAGTTGAGATTATTTTTGTTAGAATATACTGTATATACAGTTCTAATCTTGTTAAAATCATTTAACAATGTAACACAAATTTTTAGCCCTTGAAAGTTATTATTACCAACTATTTAGGATAATAGGAAAATGCAGGTTAGTAATTAGTCACCTATTACAATTGAACTTGTAGTCATATTAGGTATGTCTTCAAGGTCAAACAGAGATATATTTTAGAGAGACAGGTTGTCTTCAAACACTTTAGAAATCTGCAGAATATGTCATTTAAGATGTAATAGGTCCTTTTCCTTCATTGTTACAATGAGACATGTCTGCTCCTGGCAGCACCAATCTACTCCAGAGAGGATGATGGGCATCGAAGAAACTCCACATGGAGTTTACTTTCTTTGTGGCAAAGGTAAGCTGCTGGGCAAGAAAGTGCTCTTGCTTCAACTGCTAACAGTGTGCTGTCCAGATTGGACAAGCAGGACACAAAAGAAAGACTGCTGAACTTTGCCAAAACAAGGTAGGATAGTCCTTCAGAGCATCCTGCTTCATGGAAAAGTCTGTCAGATATGCTAGGCTTGTAGGCTGAAGATGGACGCCCCAATGTTCCAGAGGAATGTGGATGACTGTTCAGGCAGCCTGCCTTTTTTGTCATTTCTCACATTTTTTTGGAAGTCACTTGCTTGTACTTCCTGCTTACTCAGGTAATATTATTTCCTACTCAGGTCTCTGATGGAGTTGAAGACTAGATAGTTATAGTTATCTTTTCTTTGTTGCCAGATTCAGAAGAGACACTCACTAAAGAAATATAAAGTGTATAAGGCTGAGAGACATTAAAGGATACTTTTGGTAATGCAAGTTAGGATAGAAAGTGAATTAGGTACAAACTTTTGGACTCAACAAGATAGGATAGATATGGAGTATTTTCTCTGAATTTGTCAATTACTAAGCTAGACACTGTTGATATATTTATTGCTTGTATATATTGTATCTAGTGATTGTACTTACTGTACATAATTTTTCTTATATTAGTTATAACCTTTTTATCTTTAGACAAAAAGGGGAAATGTGGTGATGCCTTGTTTATACTCTAACTGAGAGCTTGTCTGAATATCAGAAGGCAGATGTAGCCACTAGTGATGGGGAAGTCCTGTGTATATGTCAATAAAGCACTGTTGGTGAAATAGGGAAGCAAGATAGGTGGGACTAGGAGTCAAGGAAGATTCTGGGAAAGAGAAACATAGGGAGTCATGATGTAGCCACCATAGGAATAAGAGGTCCGGACCCCTTTCTCCGGTAAGAGAAAATACTTAGATTTACAATTATGGGGTAAATGCTTAAGTCAGAGATAGCCAGTAAGAAAACAAGCAAATGGCCAACAGCTTCATAATTAATATAGCCTCCTGTGTGTTCATTTGGGACTGATGCGGCTCTGGAACCAGGCTGGCAGGAAGGCTGCACTCTACACACTAGTTAACCATAGAGGTCTGGAGGTCTGTACAGACAGACAGGAAGTGATATGGCTGGGTGGAGAGAGGAATATAAGGCAAGAGGAGACAGGAACTTAGGTTCTTTCAGCTGAGGAGCTCGCAAGGTAAGAGTTGGCTGTGGCTTGCTCTTTTCTCTCTTTGATCTTTCAGCATTTGACCCAACATCTGGCCACGGGTTTTTATTATTAAGACCAATTAGAACTCATGTTACATCCAAGTGAATCAAAGACCTCAACATAAAACCAGACATGATGACCCTGATAGAGGGGAAAGTGGAGAACAGTGTTGAACAGAACACCAACGCACAGGCGCTAGTAAGTGAGACATCATGAAACCAAAAAGCTTTTATAAGGCAAAGGAAACCCACAGGACAAAATAGCAGCCCACAGAATGGGAAATATTCCCATCAACCCCACATCTAACAGAGTGCTAATATCTAAAAATATAAAGAACTCGAGAAACTAGACATCAGAAATAAAATAATTCAATTTAAAAAATGGGATACAGATTTAAACAGGGAATTCTCAACATAGGAATATCAAATAGCAGAGAAGCACTTAAATGGTCACCATTGTTAGACATCAGGGAAATGCAAATCAAACACAAGTGACAACTCATGCTGGAGAGGATATGAAGCAAGGGGAACACTCTTCCATTACTGGTGGGAGTGCAAACTTTTTCAGCCATTTTGGAAATCAGTATGGCAAGTTTCTCAGAAAACTGAGAATCAATCTGCCTCAAGACCCACCTATATCACTCCTGGGCATATACCCAAAGGATCCTCAATCATACCACAAGGACACTTGCTCAGCTATGTTCGCAGCAGCTTTATTTGTAATAGCCAGAACCTGGAAACAAGCTAGATGTCCCTCAGTTGAAGAATGGATAAAGGAAATCTCATACATTTACACAATGTATGGAACTAGAAAAAAAAAAAAGATCATCCCGAGTGAGGTAACCCAGACCCAGAAAGAGAAACATGGTATATACTCACTTACAAATAGGTATTAACAGTAAAGTAAAGAATAACCATTCGATAATCCACAAACCCCCAAGAGGCTAAGTATCAAGGAGGGTTCAAGGGGAGATGAATGGATTTCCCTGTGAAGGGGAAGCAGAAAGGATATCATGGGTGAATTTGGGGCAGATGTGGATGGGAACAGGAAGGATTAGGCGTGGGGGTGGAATGAGAGAGAACTGGGAGAGATGACTGGAAATAGTGGGCATTTCAGGGTCAAGGCACAAATTCAGTGCATCGGGAAGTCCCATGAATCCGTACGGGTTCACCTAGTGAAGACTTCACCCCAGTGACCACTCCTCATAAGAGCAATGAGGGATATGGGACCTGAACCAGCCATCTTATGTTGCAGACAAGTGTCTAGCATAATTGTCATCAGAGAAGATTCTACGATGCCAACTAGAAGACAGAACTATGGCTGGTGGCTGCACCTACTCCCCTAGCATCGAGCATTCCCAAAGCTGCACCTGCAGGGAAGAGGTACACATGCATGCACACAGGCAAAAACACACGGACACATAGCATTTTTAAATGCTGTGGAAAACAAATTTAATGATATAAAGATACATTTATAAGAATCATGTGAAAAATAGCTAACAAAACAGTAGTACATAGGATGTTGTCATAATCTTTCTAGTCATTAAGGAAATACATACACACAAACACATCAAATGGCAACATCACAGATTAAAAAAAAAACCCTTACGTTAGTGGTTATTATTCTTGAATCTATTTCTGTTAATATTCATGCTTTCTATTCTGTATGCATTTCTTCTTATATATCATTTTGTGTGCATTGGCCACTTACTCATTCTGTATTTTCTTTTAAGGTGCTACACTCCTTACATGACACACGGCAGGTTAAAATTAAAATCAAAAGCACTTACATCCAAATGCTAGTAATTCTGCAATCTAAAAGGAACCTGACTTCTCACATGGCCAAAACATTTTACAAGTGCCGACTAAAAGGACTCGCACAGTCACCAGGAAAAACTGAATGTGAGTCTAGCTGCAGTTAGTTCCAAGAAGTCCCTGCTGGCCATAATTAATTCAAAGAAGCAATCAGCAGAGATAATACTGTCTATTG